ACGACTAATATGATCAAAAGTGTTTTGGCTCAGTTTTTGCAGCATTGAAATAAGACATTTCCTCTAAACACGTTGCTTATTGTCTAGAATGAATAACTATTGAAAAGAATAAAATTGGAAGCGACTAACTAAGTGTAACAAATTCTTTACCTTGCGTCAGGCTCTTGTAACCCATAGAAATTGTGCTGAGGATACGTGTATCACAAACCCATGGCTTTTTCTTATTTCACTTCATTCTCCAAAGGAGAAGAACCCAGGATAGTTGCTATTTGTAACATTTGTACTATGCTGAAGTAATCGCAAAGTGTCGCACGTCTAATGGGACCAGGGGGACTCTGAAGACATATTGCGGAGAGATGCTATGGTTCAGATCTAAACAAAAGTTCAAACTCATCAATTGTTTAATATCCACACGTAAAGAAAATTCACAAATTTACGGGGCGCTCTACTTTGTTTCTCCCCTCAGCAGGCTATGCTGCAAATTTATATTTGTATCTATAAAAGAGAGCAGGTCAACGAATTTGTCATTGTCATATCGATATGTCCTTACATCATGCGATATTTCAATGGAAATTTCCCTTAAAAATTACGAGATCAGAAAATCTCTCCACTTTACTACATCTCTGCCAATGCCCACTCATACGCTGTAATCTTTTCGTACTTTTTCGTAGTGAAATGTACTTGGCTCCTTATGACATTCTCTCTATGAAAAACTTCTAGAGCAAAAGTTTTTGGAAACGTTTTGGTAGTGAAATCGGTTGAAACTTACTCTCTTCAAAATCGAGAACACTTGCGACAAAACGGTAGATTTAGCAAAGATATTACAATCTACTACTATTTTAAAAGAAGAAGGGACGAAATTTGGCTCTAGTAATATGAGGAGTAAAGATCATCCATCCTTCATATAGATCATCTTGGGCAGACTTACGAAAATTTCTGCCTTTTGCGGAATTTCACTTGGGACAACGTGGTATGGTCCTTAAGCGGTAATGACTGTGTCACAAACATTTGAATACACGAGCTAAATACTTTTACAGTAATAATTCCGTGCAGACCTTGCGTGAGCGGTTTTTTTAGCAATAGAGCGCGGCTGACGACATGCTGTCCTATTGATAAGCGTATTTAATTAGTAATAAACGGTTCGCTCGTGAGAGGTGCCGGGAAGTGCTCCTGTAATGAATGAACTAAAGCAAACCACAATTGGTAACTCGTCCTAAAACGTGACTGTCTCTCTTTCAAACTCGCTATCAGCTAGAAAAAGACCATTCTGGAATGATAGAATAAAAAGTCAGAACATGCAAGTTGTTTTTGGGAGAGAAGAGGTGGAGACAACCAAGAATTTTCAATATTTTTTACGAATGCTTTTCCCAGTTGAACTTCTGCCTTGGCTTAGAGAGACCACTCTTACCTACTCACCCAGGAAAAAATTATTGATTAGTATTGATTAGCATTAATTTACACTTCAGCTCTAATCAAACAACCTCCCTCCTTTGTTCCCGATGATGAGAAGATGTTCGAACAACAATGTGGCGGAGCGACAAAGCCTGGCCAGTTAACAGGTTAGGCAGCATCTGAAATTCGCATTTATCGATTTTTCGAATAATCGACATTTGTCCACGAATATTTACAGGTGAAATCGTGTCACCCGGGTATCCAGACACGTACCCACGTAATGTTACATGTTATTGGCTAATTCGGGTTGAACCACGACAACGAGTTTACATACGTTTAGCACATTTACATCTTTCTGCTACCATAGGTAGGTCCTGTTATGAATGCTTAACATACTGTGTCAATCTTATGTCTTATGTATGGTAAATTTATTTTAGCTGAATGCGAGCGAGCATCGTTATCGATCATTGACGGGTACAAACATGAAGGAAGGGCTATAAAAAAGGTTAATCCCTTAAAATAATTAATTTAATTTTTAC